ACTGCGCCACCCAGGCGCCCCATGTTTTTGTATTTTTTAATGATCAGGCATTACTTGAGTTGACCAAGATTTGTTGATGACACATATTTAGAAACGTGACTCGTTGGTATCTTCCTGTTGGTTTGAAATTGAGGAAGTCTGGATGTGGTCAGCAACGAGAGGTAGAGGTGCTCAAGAGGCTCTCAGCTACTAGAAACGCCCTGCTGCAAAGATAACAGCAAACTTCCCACTATCAGGGATGGAACAAGCAGTTAAAGGGGTCTGTCCCAACTGTGTAGTTGTAATTCTCACCTGTGTAAGTAAGCAGACATGTCAGGGAGCAGATGAGTTCCAGGGCCAGGATGGCCAGGATGAGGTCAGGATACAACCTGCTGGGCTCCGGGAAGGAGTGCTGCACGCACAGCACGAGGAGAAGAGCCGTGTTGCCTGAGGAGGAGAAAGAAACTCAGAGTCAGCAGAGCGCAGAGCCGGCCCCGGGGCAGGCTTGCAACGGGGCCACTTACACTGAGCAGTCAAGGGAGCAAAAGGACAAAAGCCCCAAATTGCTGCTCTCTTGAGGAAAAAAACCCCAACCCGTCTGAGTTAATGATGCCCCATAATACTTAAAAGCTAAAAAATGATTTTTTGCTTTATAAAATTATTCGCAATGGCATATGTGTTGAGTCTTGTGTGCATTTGAGAAAGGATGCAGTTCGTAGAACTTTGCATTAGCCCAGTTCTTCAGAATCCAGAGGCATGAGGACCCTGGTCGCCCATGCTGGTGACAAACTGCAACAACACAGACTGCTGCGAGACTAAGAATGTTGCAGTTATCCGCACCATCTGGGTGGAACTCCGGGACACGTTGCTAACTGTGGACAAGTGACCTGATACCTCTGCTCCTCAACTTCCTCGTCTGAAAAATGGGGATGACCGGACCTTGCTCACAGTCCTGTTGTGAGGCATAGATGAGCTAATATGTGAAAAATACTTATAATGGCAAGTATTTGATAAATATGAGCTATTCCCCCTCCCCACTCCTGGCTCAGCATACCTATTACTTGGTTTTGAAGACCATCAAAATATAACACAGAAGAAAAATACAATTCTGGAGCAAAGAGCCCAGGTCTTGCCATAGCGTAGTGTATGACGGAGTTTGCCACGGGGACCTGCTTGGAGCAAGGGTTGTATGGCAATGTGCTTGCAACTGTGAAGGATTACACGAAATCAGAATTATTCTGATAATTCTGGGGATACCTACCCTTTCTTGAATGCTTACTAGGCACTGTTCACTTCCTCCTACAATAGAGTTTGTGTGATAAATATTATATCTCCAATTTTATAGAGAAAAAGTATCAGGATGAAGCTAATCACTATCTGACAATAGTATCACCAGCGATAAAAACAATAGTTACACTCATCTGATTAGCTGGAAATTCTACAGCTTCATAGATTTACCTTTTTATTCTTCATATAAGGAAAAAATACTTAAAGAAAATAGAAACAAGGTAAATACCCACCCTAATCTCTTTGATTTTCTGGGTCCTTCCTTATATGAGCAACATAAAAGTGTTGCCATTTGTGATTAAAGTAAGGGTCCGATTGCTTAGAAACAGATTAAGGGTCATATTAGCAAGAATTTGAAAGTGAGAGGAAAGGTAAAGATTAGACAATCCTTTGGTGGGCTTCAAAAATACTATTTCCAGACCGGTCACTTGAACATTATTTTTGTCATAATTCATATAAGTTAAAAATGGGTTTTGCTTTTATCTTTGTGGGTGGCAGGAAAGGTCATAGTGACATCTTCTGGCCCAAAACAAGTACTACATATCAGCAGTTCAACATATAAGCCAAACTCTACCCCAGGGAACAGTAAAAATGTCACCCCTTTCATGATGAGTCAAATCAGCCATCTCTATAATATGCTTCTTTCTCTGTTATAGCATGGCCCTGCGGCTTCCACTGAGAACATCACTGAGTGGATGAACTCGCAGCTTGCCCCTTAAGAAAATGTACTAACAATCTCCCAACCAACAAGAGTCCAGGGACAGATGGCTTTCCAGGGGAAATCTACCAAACATTTAGAGTTAACACCTATCCCTTTGAAGCTATCCCAAAAAATAGAAATGTAACGAAAACTTCCAAACTCTATGATGCCAGCATTACCTTGATTCCAAAAGCAGACAGAGACCCCACTAAAAAGGAGAACTACAGACCAATCTCCCTGATGAACATGGATGCAAAAATCCTCAACAAGATACTAGCCAACCGGCTCCAGCAATACACTAGAAAAATTATTCACCACGATTGAGCGCGATTTATTCCTGGGACACAGGGCTGGTTCAATATTGACAAATCAGTTAATGTGATACATCACATTAATAAAAGAAAGGATAAGAACGACAGGATCCTTTCAATAGACACAGAAAAAGCACTTGACAGGGGCCCCTGGGTGGCTTAGTC